CTGCTTCCCCTCCTGGCCCCCCCCCCCGGCGCCTCGCCCGCCCGCCCGCCCGCCCGGGGCCACACCCGGCCCCGGCCCCTGGGTGTGCCGGACACAGCGGGGCTCTCCCGGGCTGGGCTCCTATTCGCTGCTCCCTGCTGCGCCTTCATGTGCAAACCAGCCCGCTGTCATCCTGATGGCCCTTCCCCGGGGCTGAGTTCCCCCACCCGCCCCCTCCCCTTCCCTTCCCTTCCCTTCCCCTCTTGCTTCCTTAACCCATGCTTTCCCCCGGTGACAGAGGGTACAAGAAAGGGAAACTGAGGCAGGGAACGTGCATGTGCAAACTGCACAATTAAGCCGGCAGGTATGATGAAGAACCCCTCTTGTGGTCACAGCCCCAGGGCCCATGGGGTTTCCTGGCTCTGCTTGGCACAGCCTTGCCCACATCCTCCCTGAGCCCAGGCACAGCTCACTCCCACCCCACAGTACGCAGCCCCCTGGCCCTGCTGTTACCCCTCACTCCCGACCTGCAACCCCCTGGCACTGCCAGTGCCCTGTCCCCCCAACCCACAGTCCCCCACTGCCCTGTGCCCCTCACTTCCAAGCCACAGCTCCCTACCCTCACTCCTGACCCACAGTATTTTGCCTCCCTGGGCTATGCTGGGACCCTCAGTCCCAACCCACAGCCCCCAGGGATGGCCCTGCTGTTACCCCTGACTCCTGAATCATAGACCCCCAGCCCTGCCAAAGGAGCCCCCCAGCTGCCCCTGTCCCAACCAGACCGGTGTGCGGTGGGACTCCGATCCGTGGCGTGGTGATGTTTCCCTAGGTTCAGGGGTGTGAGACAAGCCTGCTGGCCCTGCGCCCGGGGGCTGGGAGACCGCCCCAGCCTGTTTTGGGGAAATGCCTGTGCTCTTGGGAGGTGGCACCTGTGGCCAGGGTGGGATGGGGCAGAGCTAGGGGTCAGTGCTCCATGGTGCAGGCCCTGGTGGTTTTGTGGCCAGGACGTGGTGCTTTCACTCCTGTGGCCTGGGTTTGTTTCCTGCCTAGGCAAGGCGGCTTCTGATCCTCACCCCTGTACTCCCCAGGCGTCCTATGCCACAGAAAGGCAAGAGGTCTCCCACGCAAACACAGCCAGGGTCAGCTTTCCTTGCCATCCTCAGGCTGCCAGTGCTTGCTGCCTTCGAGACAGCCCCAAAGTTGGGCTCTTTGTTCCCTCTCCCCAATGTTGTTCCCCTCTGAGTGTGCACGCCTGTAGCTCAGACTTGGGAGTGGTTTGGCTGATGGCAGACATGCCGGGGCTCTGGCACTTGGCCTGCAAGCAATCCCTGCACCGAGACCTCCAGCCCGAGCCCAGGGTCTAGCAGTGGAAGGGGTGCGCCTCTTGTCCGGCTTCAAGCCCTGCCCCTATCTTGGGACCAGAAGTTCAGCCCCAGACCCCTGACCGTTACCACCACCAGCTCCAGCCCTTAGCCCAGAGGAGCTCCCTTTGGCTGGGTCTGCTCTGGCCTCAGCCCACCCTTCCCGGATGGTCTAGCCATGGTTAGGGTGCAGTGTGCTCATTGCTGTGACCTGGGTTTGATCCACAGACAAGGAAGCCCATTTCCTTTTCCTTCTCTTTCTCTCCTGTGCCTTCGCCACGAGGCACTTTCTCCCCTTCTCACAGGGAGGCAGAGCTGTTTTCCCCTCCAGCATGCGCAGGTGCTGTTCATCACGTTCCCTTGCTGACTCCTGCGACAGCTCTAGCAAGGCCGAGCAGGGAAACGCAAGGCCAGAGGCCAGGGGGACGTGTAAAATGGGGAGAAGAAAACAGAACAAGTAAAACCGTGTTTGTGAAACTGGCACCTTTGACATGAGCGGCCAGTGCAATATTCACTGCGGTCCAGCGAGCGAGGCACCCAAGGCTCCCACTCGCCTCCCCACTTCGTTCCTGCAGGGTCGTTCTAGGAGCCTTCCTCAGCTCCACACCGCACTGGGTGACGGGAATGGGTTGTGGGAGGCGTTGTCATTTTACACCCCGGCGGTGTCTGGCACAGGGGAACAGTCCCGCTGTCTCTCCCAGGATGCGGGATGCCGCCAGGAAAGCCGGAGACAGGAAGCTGCAGACCACCGTCGTGCACTTGGCCATCTTTCAGGGCACCCGCGCAAAGGGCCGCACAGGACAGGGTCTCTCCCACCTGCGAGCGTGTCCCTGGCCAGCCCTGCCCCTCGCTGGCTCTTGGCAGCGTCCCAAACTGCCTTCCTGAGCATGATGAGGTGGCTCCCCTCTACAGCCAGCTCGGAGGGCAGGGAGAAGCTTGAATCCATCTTGAATCTGGACGGGTGTCTCTACTTCTGGGACTCAAAGCGGCCCAAGGCATTGTCAGACTCCCACTTGGTGCTGTTAACATTATAGACATTGGATTTATGATGCATTATAACCTGCCTGACCGCTGGCTCCCCAGGTACCTCTCCACTATCTAGTAGCTACATTAATTCCCTTTGTTTCCACTCTCCACCCCCACCCGCTCTCTCTCCTCAGTTTACACCTTCACTGATCAGCTCTCTTGCATGCGCATGGCTTCTTTACTACTTATTCCACCCAGGAAGAGCAGAAAGCAACTGGGGATGCTTCCTCAGCCTGATGAGGCACATTTATACCTAAAAGCTTGCAAAGAAGTTGTCCACCTATTTGAGTTGGTCTTATAAAAGAAATCAGATTTACCCAAGGGACCTTGTCATTCTTCGGCTGGCATTCAGGCTCCCTCACTCACCCTGTGCGCTGACTTACAAGATCTAATCTTTTCTGGGTGGTTTCCGAGGAATTCATGACCTACATCTATGGAAGGGAAGCTAAAGACAGGAGGAGGGTGCCAGAGCTTAGACGGGGGAGAGGAACAGCATGGGGTAGGAATCAAACCCAGGACAAATTTTTAAAGCACAGCTTTGCTTACCCCTAAAAAACCCACAAAGTCTGGGGCTTGTGGTTACTGCTTAAGGGCAAGGGAAGGAGCTGCACACGTCCCCTTTCCTCCCCTTCTGTGGATGGCTAGAGGACTCTTTCTGAAGCCTTGCCCAGTCAGAGGAGTGGGTTTGTTCAGACTGCCTCACCCGTCTGAGGAGCTCTTCCCCACGGACACTCGGGGAGTCTTGGGGACCGGCTGCCCTGGGCAGGTGGCCTCTGGCAAGGCTTCTCCATGGAGCTCTGAGGTTATTCTTGTACTGGTTCTGTGGTGTAACGGTCAGCACCCTGGGCTCTGAATCCAGTAATCTGAGTTTAAGTCTCAGCAGAGCTTCTAGCTTGTTCTTCTTGCAGCGCCAGCTCTTTTGTAGAGAGGTGGCTTGGCTTAGCACTCTGCTGAATTTCCATCTCCTTTCCTCTTCCCCACATTTGCAGGGGTGTGCAAAATACAGCCTATGGCTTGCATCTGGCCCACAGCATGATGCTTTCCAGCCCACAGACCGGGGGCAGTCCAAGCGGTGGCACATGCAGCCAGCCCCACCACCCCGAGCACACAGCGGGTCAGTTTCCCCTTGCCCCACTGGCAGCAACACTGAGCATCAGCAGCCAGATGCTGCTCCTCACCTGCCATGGCCCCATCACATCCCCTGGCCTGCCTGCTGGGTCCTCAGCCAGGCCCCATGGGATCCCGCCAGTCCGCCCGTTCTGCCTGGCATCCCCAGCAGTGGGCTTGAGATGGACACATCCGGGTCAGATAGCATTAATTGCCCCTTCCCACCCTTCCACACATCCAAGCCAGGTCAGCACCCCATCCTACCCTGCCACATCCAAATGGATCAACTCCACCAGCTCTGATTAGCAGGTGATACACATGCATATTTGTGTCACTGGTGTGCCACGGGTGCACGAGTGTGTAGCACTGATTGTGTGACAAGTGTGTTGTAACAACGGTGGAAGGAAGCCCTGGGCCCTTGGAGCTGGGAACTCACGCTCTCCTCTCCCG